TTTAAAAAGCTGAGTACAACCTGTTCTGCAGAGCTCGTACTAAATATGATTGATAACATAAGAAGAACAGTTCTGATACAAGAGAATCTCTGAAACAAGGGTGCCTGGGACTACAAGTACTCGGATAAAGCCCTTTTATGGGTCCTAAAAGATAAACAATACTTTCAAGTCCACATGGGACTCTTCTGGACACACCTGTGAAAGCTCCAAAAATAAATGGACTTACTTCAGGTTGTAAGCCTAGATGAACTCCAAATACATCAAAGTCTATCAGATAAGACAGACAGAATTAGGACCTCCTTTTCCCTCTTTCTTCTAAATACAACCAAAACATTCCTATGCTACCTATCTCCTTTCTTTTCTTCACAAGTACATTCAATTATCTTAAGCACCAGACAATGACCCATTTCTCATCACAGTGATTTCTTTATCCTCTCTTTGGGTATATCTACATTGCATTCCTCCTTCGAAAGAGGAATGCAAATGCAGACAAGCAAAACTGCAAATGAAGCGTGGATTTGAATTTCCCACGCTTCATTTGCATAATCACAGATGGCTGCTTTTCCGAAATAGCTTATTTCAAGAAAACAAACGCGGACCACATAGGGTTATTTCAAGAAAAAACCCTTCCTTCGAAATAACCCTTACTCCTTAAAAATGACGTTTAAGGGTTATTTTGAAGAAGTTTTTTCTCGAAATAATGCCGCTATTTCGGAAAAGCGGCCGTCTGCAATTATGCAAATGAAGCACAGGAAATTCAAATGCATGCTTCATTTGCAATTTTGCTCGTTTGCATTTGCATTCCTCTCACGAAGGAGGAATGCAATGTAGACATACCCTTTCTGAATGAAACCAAGGGCCCATGAGATTTAGAACGGCAACTAGCTTCATATTGCTAAGATGTCAGTACGGTTATGTCTACACTACGCATTTTTCCGGACAAGGCAATGCAAATGAAGCGTTGATTAGCATTTTCTCACGATTCATTTACATAATCTTTTCTGGTCTGTTTTCGCTCAAGGGATTTTTGCCCCGGGGGCATAAGGATCCTGCGCCAAAAGGGGGATTTGTGCAAAAAGGAAATGTCCACACTGCTTGTTTTTGCGCAAAAACCCCTTAAAAAAAAAAAAAAAAAGAGATTATGCAAACAAAGCGCGAGAAAATGCTAATCAGTGCTTCGTTTGCATTGCCTCTTCCAGCAAAACATGTAGTGTAGACATAGACAAGACATCAGTAAAAACAGGGCATTGTTTGATATGGGATCGAGGGCATTGAAGATAAGAACAAAGACTTCACTGTCAGCAGATACACGAAACAGAATTAGTAACAAGCCGGCAGTAGATGACAAAAATCTGGTCGGTGGGAAGAAAAAAAATTAAAGATGTTTATTTTGGTAATTAGCTAATTTCAGAATTTATGTCAGTTATTGTATCAGAACTATTTCTTCCATACAATGCATCTCTCTTATTCCCATTAGAAATATTCTTGTGTAACTGTAGTTGTTAAAGTGAAAACATTATGTTTCTTCCCCGGTTCTATTTAATGATAATATACATGTAGTTTCTTTCAATCATACAGCGGGTTATTTATTTCAACATTAAGGATGTGAACATTTAAAAGTAAAAGTTGTCTAACAGATTGACCTCCTCTCACAAGGCTCTACGCAACCAGAATCTCCTTTTCATGTTCTACAATGGTATGACAGAATCAGTACTAACTCTGAGTTTTATGACAACTACTTAAGATTTATGGAGTTCACTCGACTAGAATACTCAACATTTAGTTTACCATTATTTGTCGCAACTTTAACAATTAGCTATATTAAATGACAAAATATGTTATCTGCTCAACAGATATATTCTGCAATGATGGAATATTTTAAAAATTTTGATCAAATGAAACAGATTTCACTGCTCATACATGCTTTCAAAAACCATTTGTTTTGTAGCACTGAGTATAACTATCAGAGGGCAAACTCAGGCCTTAGACTTTATATTCAGTTTTAATCAGCCACTGATTTCTCTCACTGTTCTAATAGAATTACATTTTAAATATCAAATAGATTTGTAAGTAGGTAACCATCAAATGGAGAGCGCTCAATGAGAACATTTAATCCACCAGTATACTCTTCATAAGAGATACCTTAATGCCAAAACTAAAGACATTAGGAGGGACGTTGAGTTTAAAGTTTACCTATTTTTAAATATAATAAACATACAAAATATAAGTAATCTCATTTACTAACAAAAATGTCACTTTTTTCTTCTTTTTAAAAACAGGGATCTCTTTACATCATGCACAGATTTGTTCCAGAATTGTCAAACTAATGATGCTTTATAACCCGATCAGAAAGGGAAACAATTGATCAGAGGGACGTTGAGTTTAAAGTTTACCTATTTTTAAATATAATAAACATACAAAATATAAGTAATCTCATTTACTAACAAAAATGTCACTTTTTTCTTCTTTTTAAAAACAGGGATCTCTTTACATCATGCACAGATTTGTTCCAGAATTGTCAAACTAATGATGCTTTATAACCCGATCAGAAAGGGAAACAATTGATCAGGTAG